TGTAGTTTTTAGTATTTATGACCTGATCCTGTATGGCAATCATGAATCCTTCCGTCTCCCCAAAGAGGCATCCCTGATCTAACCAGCTGCTTGAAGCAGTTTTGTCAACAAAATCCTGGGCCAGGTCATAAGGATGCCTGCCATGGAGTGCCTTTTGAGCCCACGATTGCTTGATAGTGTCTATGCTTTTTATATGTTATGTCAAGTCTGTATGATGTGAGTGTAAGGTTAATGGTGTGTTATTTGAGTCTGCTAGAGTTACTGCTTTATGTAACTGTGATGTTTCTTGTTTCTTGTAGAAAAACTCTTGCAGTGATTGTATTTGTTTGTAGTGAAGGTTTATAATGTCAATCAGGCCACGTCCACCATCTTTATGTGGAAGGGTTAATCTTTCTATGGCAGATTTAGGATGATGTTGTTTATGCTTAGTAAGTGTTGTTCTTGTTTTCTTTGTGTAAAGGTTACTCATTACCAGGTACTAGTCCAATATATATAATAGACTCACAAAAACCTTTAAGTGACCAGTAAAATATTTAATTGAAAAAATAACAAATGTTTTCAACCGTATTTTTCGGCCTTCTTCAGGTTAAAAGTTCCGAGATTCGAAAAGCCACAGTACACATAGCTTGACAAGGGATACCTCAGGCAACCATTAATAGTATGCCTTGCTATACAATGAGGCATACTATCAATGAGGCAATTGATATTAATGTTTAAACAAAAGCATGTTAATTTATTAAGTATTTGTAATTCATGCTTATTAATTATAATTAATGGTTTGTTTACTATTATTGTTTTAATCTTAATAAAAATTGTCAATTGTATTAATTGTTGTTACACTTTCACTTCTTTTTTTTTCTAACTTCCATTTCTTATTAATTATTGTTTATTGGTATCTTTGTCTTTACTTAAGCCTGAAATCATTTTTACAAATAGAGTTTATTTCTTGTTAAATGAATTTTCAAATTTACTGTATATCAACTGTACTGTGAGGTCTAGGTTGGGTATTCCTTTGTTAAAGACTAAAATGAAGTTTTTGAGTGCATCCTTTCTTTTTTCTTTCAGATAAAATTTTTTGTGTCCCTCTAGTTTCACTACCCAGAATATGTCCTTGTCTTTACCCTTCAATCTACAGGTTGTCTCTAATATTTTTCAATTAGAAGATTGTTTATTTCATAATTTTAAATGTTTTAAGAAATTTTGTATTACAGTATCTAGTTTGTCTCTATTTTACCTTACACACATTTACATTGTATGCAGTATAGTTAATTTTATCAGTTTTATTGGATGTATATCTTCTTATATATCTATTTATTACTTTTGTTGCTATTTACCTTTTTTCTTTTAATGGGTCTATTTTATAATAATGTTATGCTTGGGGTAATCATAAGTCAATTATGACATTGCCTGTTGTATTAAAAAGAAATAAATAAAGGAAAAAACATAACAAAAATTATATTAAGGATTTTAAAGCAAAATCTCCAAATATATTTGAATATTTTATTGTAAAAAGAAAATTGAGGGAAAGAAATATGAATATTATTCATTTTGTTTGATATTTAGCATAATGTTTCTAAAATATAAATTTGATTTTGAAAACATTGTTTATTATATGCAATATACAATAAGTAATATGTATTAATATTTAACAGAAAGATTGCAAAAAACAAAAAGATTCTGTATGGCTTCACTATAGACCATCTCTGTTTCAACATGTTGGAACACATTCATCATTAAAAGGAAAAGTCCAAAAACTCAAGGTAAACATTGATAATTCAGTTCATGTGATTTTAATGAAATGTTGTAAACCATTGGGCTATAATTTGGCAATAATAATTATAAATTACTAATAAATTTGTCCCTAGAGGGAGGAGTTAGGTGCCATCTGGTATTTCATTTAATAATTAATCTAAAATTATTTAATTAAATTATAATCTGGAAGAAAAAAATTGGCACAGAGCAGGACTCAACCTGCTACTGCCACATATTGTGCATGTTACTGCCACCCCTAGATGGATGGTGCGTAATGCCTCCCTCTAGGGTTAAATTTATAAGTAATTTATAATTATTATTGCGAAATTATAGGGTGATGATTTATGGCAGTTGAAGGTGTTATTGCTATGTATCAGGTTTAATAATGTGTTATTATATACACGTAGCCCTCAGTTTACGCCGATTCACAATAATGCTGCTATGCAATTCACCATTTTGTGGTGTAATTCCCCGATTTTCCCTATGCTAGACTGATTTTCATTTCAGTGTTGATGTATTTACAGAGCCGTGACATTGTACATTTGTTAAAACAAAGATTTTTATTGAATATGTTTATTTTTTCTGTTTAATATTATTGGGTATGTATACATTTGCATTAAATTAATATTAAAATACTAAACGTTTAGGTACCCATGAGTCAAGTTATTAAATTTAATAGTCCAATAAATGGCATCCGAATCCATAGCGCCAATGAATGTATCCCGTATCAGTTTGTTCAGGAAAACACCTTATGACACAGTAGCACTTCTGGCAATCACAAACTATCATTAGTGAGACAAATCATCTCGTTGGCCAGATGATACTTTTTTATTAGCCAGACGATATCTACTTCTTATCAGTCAGAAGATATCTATCTCTCCTTAGCCACCTTCAATTTTCCCACTCAAACTAACCTTATATATGCGCTATGGCGACTGATGGTTGACCAATCAGTGTCTCTGCTTGTCTGTAGCTCTACGTCAGGTTAACGTATCCTTTCAACTATGGAAAGTTTGATGGAAGAACTTTGTGACTTAGACAATGATTGGGAGCGAAGTGCAAATGTAAAAAGGAGCATCATCACATCCATTTGACCACATTCCAAAATTCTCAATGAAAGAAAACAAAAATTTTTTAATAAAAACATTTCACTTTATTTTATCATACAAAATACATATAAATTTAATTTTTAAAATTATTTTACTATATTGTATATAAAAAATTGTAATATTGTATGTAAAAATTGTATATAAAAAAAACTATTTGCTTATTTTTCACTTATGTAGAACCTAACCCTATAACTCACTGTAAATATGGGTTTCATTTTACGCCGATTCGATTTGCGCCGGCTTTTGTAGGAACGGAACTGTGGCATAAACTGAGAGCAAAAATTTTTTATATTAAATGTATTCTAACAATGTTTAATAATAAACCTTTATATTTGAATTTTTTTATTCATCTTTCATGTTTTCAGTGTTTTTATTCATTGAAATATCAATATATGAATATTTTTAAACTTTTGTNTTGCTTCTAGTTAAAAGATCTTTATAAATTTCCTTATATGGTGCTAAGCACTTATGGAATAAGGGAAAAACATCTGGTAACACCAGAAGCAGAAGCGTCGAGATCTGGCAAAATTGAAACAATTTTCGCGGAGGACCATGTGTATAGAGGCGAGAAAAGAAAATTTACATACTGAAGTACTAATAGTTCATGAAAATAATAATTTTCGTAAACTATTAGTACTTAAGTATGTAAAAATTTATTACATTTCATGTTGTACGAGGGTTTTATGCATTTTTCAAACCGTGTCAGAGTGAATCCATGCTATAAAAGTACCGTGTTATACGGGGATGGTATCAATTCTCAAACCGTGTTAGAGTGAATCTGTGCTATAGAAGTGCCGTGTTATACGTGGGCTACCTGTATTGTGAAATTTAGGATATATATTCCAATTAATTTTTTCATGATAAGAAGGCTAAAACATATTTGTATATTCAGCAATTTATTAAATGAAACTAAATAATAATTTTAGAAATTATTAATTGAAGAATGTAATATAGTAGAGACTTAAATATTATGTGTTTTATTTTTATGTTTTTGCAACAAGAATGTCTCCTGGATAAGGTTCCAACCTTTCATAGAATTATCCAGATAGAGACGGTCAATTTTTACTTCTGAGCAAGGCTTTAGAAATAAATCATTATTAAAAACCAAAACAATGAAACTGCATAGCATAGTAAGAACATCTGCAGAACAAAAGTCAAAACTAATGGAATACTAATTGAACAAATATCTAAATTTAATTAAGATCAAGATATAAATATTGGCATTAAAATACAGAAATGTAACAAGATAAATGTAATAACCAAATATCAATTCTGATTGAATTGAAGCTATACATCATCATCTGTAAATCTGTCCTCACCTATGGTATTAAAGTTCAACTTTTAACCAAAACAGAGATTCAAAAAGTGGAAAACTGCTTACCTGAAAATAAATTCATTTATTTAGTTAAACATTCACTTTCTGCATTTTGTATACTATTGTTTTAGTAAATTATATAATATTGTCTATAGAACAGTGATGGCAAACCTTTTGAGCTGGGCGTGTCAAAATTTTGAAAAATCCTAACTTAACTCTGGTGCCGTGTCACCTAAAAATATTCATAATTTTTTGATATTTGCAACTATAGTAAAAAAAGGTTTATGTTTTTTATATTTACTTTATATATATAAATGCAATTAAAATGGTCTGTTCTAGGCTCCTAAATTGGTTGAATCTTTCACTGAACTCTTCAATTAACGAGTTTACTATATTCTGGTACATAAGTATGGACTCCATTACACTCGTTTTATTGGCCTTTTCAAAATACTTTTTTATTTGAGGAAAATACTAATAAGTTTTAGTTTCAATATCTCGCTTAAAAAATTTAAGTTTACTTTCAAAAGATTTGATGTATCCAAACATAACATCAATACTTTTGCCAAAACCTTATAATTTTAAGTTCAGTTCATTCATATGAACAAAGAGATCTGTAAAAAACACTAAATTACTGACCCAGTTATGATCATTAATCTGAGGAAAGTTTGCCAGATCCTTATTCTTAATAAATACTTTAATTTCTTCAAAGCACTCCACAAATCACTCAAGTACTTTACCTCGACTCAGTCATCTCACATTATTGAACATCAGTAGTCTACTGTATGGCGCCGGCTTTTGTAGGAACGGAACTGTGGCATAAACTGAGAGCAAAAATTTTTTATATTAAATGTATTCTAACAATGTTTAATAATAAACCTTTATATTTGAATTTTTTTATTCATCTTTCATGTTTTCAGTGTTTTTATTCATTGAAATATCAATATATGAATATTTTTAAACTTTTGTAATGTAAATTCTTATTCTGAAATTCTAGAATTATATTTTACTGGTATCTTACATGTGAAAGAAGAACCTAGTCTTTTGAATAATCTTGACTCCTTGTCAGTTTACTATTAATACAGGTAACCCCCGTATAACACGGTAGTTACGTTCCAAAAAATTACCGTGTTATGCGAAACAAAGAACTAGTACGAAAAGCAGGGTTAGATTCCAAAAATTAAAAAACATGCTACTATATTTTCATAATTAAGATAAATATCTTTATTAAAATTTTCTTAAGTGATACATATTAATATAAATTAAACAATGTTTTCTTTGTCATCACTAAAAGCACTATTAACCGAGAGCGTTTTATTTTTGGCAAGTTATATGATGCTAAGCACTTATGGAATAAGAGAAAAACATCTGGAAACATCAGAAGTAGAAGCGTCGAGATCTGGCAAAATTGAAACAATTTTCGCGAAGAACCATGTGTACGGAGACGAGAAAAGAAAATTTACACACTGAAGTACTAATAGTTCACGAAAATAATAATTTTCGTGAACTATTAGTACTTAAGTATGTAAAAATTTATTACATTTCATGTTGTACGAGGGTTTTA